CTAGCCTAGCCTAGCAGGGTTACGCAGATCGCTCCGTGTTTGAGGAAGAGGGAGGTTTCCCGGCCCGGTCTCCCGGCCCGGTCTCCCGGCCCGGTCCCGCTTCGTTTCCCGGGGTGCTGGCTGTTATTAGGAGTGTTCTGACCGTCTGTGTTCGCTCGTTTTCCCGCTCTCTACCCGCTCGAGGCCCGCGGCGCGGCTCGGCTCGGCTCGGCTCTCCGGGTCTCCTTGGCGACGCCGAGGCCGTTAAAGCGCTGCTCTTATAGCCTTCACAATGTTTTTCCTCCTTAAATCAAATAAGCGCTGCGCGAGCGGTCCGGTCCGGAGACGCGACGCGCGCCCGGTCCGCGGAGCAGCGCGCGGCGGTGTTTGTTTACCTGGAGCGGCGCGCGGGGTTCGCAGGAGAAGCGCTGCTGCTGCTGCTGCTGCTGCTGCCGCACTGGAGCTGCGGCCTGCGGAGCCCCCTGCCGTACACCAGCGGTCACTACACCCACAGGACAACAGAGCAGCTACATTAAAAATTACCGTATTATTATTATTATTGTTGTTGTTGTTGTAATTATTATTATTATTATTATTATTGTTGTTGTTGTTGTAATTATTATTATTATTATTATTATTATTATTATTATTGTTATTATTATTATTATTATTGTTGTTGTTGTTGTTGTTGTTGTAATTATTATTATTATTATTATTATTATTATTATTGTTGTTGTTGTTGTTGTTGTTGTAATTATTATTATTATTATTATTGTTGTTGTTGTTGTTATTATTATTGTTATTATTATTATTATTGTTGTTGTTGTTATTGTTATTATTATTATTGTTGTTATTATTATTATTATTATTATTATTATAAGTACAGTCTTAATTGTAAGATATAAAAATCACATTTATGAGATGAGAGTCATAGTTACAGAATGGTAAGTCATAATTATTACATATTAAGTCACAATTATGTAACATGGTCATTATTATGATATAGTAAGTCATATTTATGATATGAGATAATAGTCATAGCAAGTAATAATTATGAGATTGTAAGTACTACTAAGGAGAGATTTTTTACATAAAATGCTTTACTGTTTCATATAAGCACTGTCAACATTTGTAAACGTAAAGTTTAAACCGCTGTAGGGTAAAAAAGCGGATTTATGTAAATATGTTGGTAGGCTGAGTGGGTGGAGCTAAACTGCTGTAGCTGAGTGGGTGGAGCTAAACTGCTGCAGCTGAATGGTGGAGCTAAACTGCTGTAGCTGAATGGTGGAGCTAAACTGCTGTAGCTGAATGGTGGAGCTAAACTGCTGCAGCTGAATGGTGGAGCTAAACTGCTGTAGCTGAATGGTGGAGCTAAACTGCTGCAGCTGAATGGTGGAGCTAAACTGCTGCAGCTGAATGGTGGCGCTAAACTGCTGTAGCTGAACGGTGGCGCTAAACTGCTGTAGCTGAACGGTGGAGCTAAACTGCTGTAGCTGAATGGTGGAGCTAAACTGCTGCAGCTGAATGGTGGAGCTAAACTGCTGTAGCTGAAGGGTGGAGCTAAACTGCTGTAGACTGAATGGTGGAGCTAAACTGCTGTAGCTGAAGGGTGGAGCTAAACTGCTGTAGCTGAATGGTGGAGCTAAACTGCTGCAGCTGAATGGTGGAGCTAAACTGCTGTAGACTGAATGGTGGAGCTAAACTGCTGTAGCTGAAGGGTGGAGCTAAACTGCTGTAGACTGAATGGTGGAGCTAAACTGCTGTAGCTGAAGGGTGGAGCTAAACTGCTGTAGACTGAATGGTGTGGCTAAACTGCTGTAGAATGAATGGGTGGAGCTAAACTGCTGTAGACTGAATAGTGGAGCTAAACTGCTGTAGACTGAATGGTGGAGCTAAACTGCTGTAGACTGAATGGTGGAGCTAAACTGCTGTAGCTGAATGGTGGAGCTAAACTGCTGTAGCTGAATGGTGGAGCTAAACTGCTGTAGACTGAATGGTGGAGCTAAACTGCTGTAGCTGAATGGTGGAGCTAAACTGCTGTAGCTGAATGGTGGAGCTAAACTGCTGTAGACTGAATGGTGGAGCTAAACTGCTGTAGCTGAATGGTGGAGCTAAACTGCTGTAGACTGAATGGTGGAGCTAAACTGCTGTAGCTGAATGGTGGAGCTAAACTGCTGTAGCTGAATGGTGGAGCTAAACTGCTGTAGACTGAATGGGCGGGGCTAAACTGCTGATTTACTGCTGTACTGGTTTGGACCAGTGCGTTAATAAACAGTGTTTATAACAGACAGAATCAGAGAGAGGAGAGTGAAGGAAATGAGGAGAGTGAGGATAGAGAAGAGTGAAGAGAGTGAGGAGAGAGAGAAGAGTGAGGAGAGAGAGGAGAGAGAGGAGAGAGAGCAGAGTGAGGAGAGAGAGAAGAGTGAGGAGAGAGAGGAGAGAGAGGAGAGAGAGCAGAGTGAGGAGAGAGAGAAGAGTGAGGAGAGAGAGGAGAGAGAGGAGAGAGAGCAGAGTGAGGAGAGAGAGAAGAGTGAGGAGAGTGAGGAGAGAGAGGAGAGAGAGCAGAGTGAGGAGAGAGAGGAGAGAGAGAAGAGTGAGGAGAGAGAGGAGAGAGAGCAGAGTGAGGAGAGAGAGAAGAGTGAGGAGAGAGAGGAGAGAGAGAAGAGTGAGGAGAGTGAGGAGAGAGAGAAGAGTGAGGAGAGTGAGGAGAGAGAGAAGAGTGAGGAGAGTGAGGAGAGTGATTCTGAACTAAAACTCACTCTTTAAAACAGCACTAATAAAATCCACTGCACTCTCACTGCTGGCCACCAGATGGCAGCACAGCTCCAGACTCCACACTGCAGATCAGAACACTGTGAACTCAAACTGAGCTGAGCTTTTTCTGTGCAGCTCACAGATCGGTTCCTCTAAAAACGCTCGAGTACATTCAGAAATACTGCTGTTCTCGAGACGCTTCTCCTCCGTGAGCTCAGTCACACAGCTCTCATCACACTAATGCCTTATAATTCACACAGAACTGTGTTAATAACAGCTTTATTAACGAAGGGCAGGGAATCGGGTGCCTGATTGACTGTATGAGGTTCAGAGGTCACTGATGCCTGATACTGGGCTTCATGTTTAATATTAGCTCATATGAGCAGCAGACTGTGCTGATATTACTCCATATACATACATTAAACCTCATATCTAACATGTTTTAGTAAACGGTCAGTATGGACAACATATTTAGCTAAGTTTGAAAACTGGAAATGATGTCAGTTGTTTCTGGTTCTGGACATACCTTTTTAATTCAGCCTCTGGAATTCAAGTAGAACATTATTAAAGTATGTAAATCCGTTCATGGCGGAGGGATACATGCGGGGCGATGTGAGTCAAAATAGTCCCCAAAGAAAACTCACTCCACACCAAAGCACTCTGAGTGACTCTCAGACACTCAGTCATGGGGGAATTTTGAAGATTTGGTGGAAGTTCCCTTTCAGCCGGTAAAACCTTGCTGCTTTAAATTTAGCCACTGCATGCTGGAGTAGATTACAGTGTGAATTTTGATCAATAATCAATAATCAATACTGGGTAATCAGTGATTAGAGAGGCTGTATGTTGTTACACTGATATTCTTTGGTGTATAAAGTGTTTATAAATGATAGTTTGTGTTAGTCTGCTGGGGGAATTAAAGCACCTGCATGTTCATGTATGTATATATATATATATATATATATATATTTATATATATGTATCAGAATCTGAATCGGTGAATCAGAGTCTGATTGACTTGTGAGTGTTAAACTCAGCGCAGGCCGAGGCTGGACGCTCTCGCACTGCTGACCTACAGCTGACCAGGGGTTTTACTCTCCAGACATGAGTCAATAAGGCTGGAGCAGATCAGAGCCACACTCTGCTTTCCAAAGCTCACTATGGTTCCCCAGAAGGTTTCTAAGGTGTTCAGAGGCAGTTGCTATGGTAACCCAGATGGTTGCTTGGTGGCTGTTAGGTGGTTGCTATGGTATCCCTGATGGTCGCTGAGTTATTGCTAAGTGCTTGCTAGGTTCTTGTTAAGTGGTTGCTATGGTATTTCTTGTGGTTGCTAGCGTGCTACTGTGTGGTTGCTATGGTATCCCAAATGGTTGCTAAGTTGTTGTTTGGTGGTTCTATGGTGTCCCAGGTGCTTACTAGGGAGTTGCTAGACGGTTGCTGTGATATCCTTGATGGTTGTTAGGTTGTTGCTGGGTTCTTGCTAGGTTCTTGTCACGTGGTTGCTATGGTATTTCTTGTGGTTGCTAAGATGTTACTAGGTGGTTGATATGATGTCCTGGGTGGTTGCTAAGGTGTTGCTAGGTGGTTGCTCTGATATCCCTGATGGTTGCTAGGTTGTTGCTAGGTGCTTGCTAGGTTCTTGTCAAGTGGTTGCTATGGTATTTCTTGTGGTTGCTAGCATGTTACTGGGTGGTTGCTATGGTATCCCAGGTGCTTACTAGGGAGTTGCTAGATGGTTGCTATGGTATCCCTGATGGTTGCTAGGTTGTTGCTAGGTGCTTGCTATGGTATTGTTAAGTGGTTGCTATTGTATTACTTGTGGTTGCTAGGGTGTTACTAGGTGGTTGTTATGGTATCCTATGTAGTAGCTAAGGTTTTGGTAGGCGGTTGATATGGTGTCCTATGGTAGTTGCTAAGGTGTTGCTATGCGGTTGCTCTGGTATCCCAGGTGGTCGCTAAGGTGTAGCTAGTTGGTTGCTGTGGTATCCCAAGTAGTTGCTGAGGTGTTGCTGGGTGGTTGCTATGGTGTCCTAGGTGGTTGCTAAGGTGTTGCTAGGTGGTTACTATGGTGTCCCAGGTGGTTGCTAAGGTGTTGCTAGGAGGTTGCTGTGGTATCTCGGGTGGTTGCTAAGGTGTCTCTAGGCTGTTGAGCCCTGTCTAAAGCCTTTGTCCACACAGCGTGTACTGACTGTGGTCAGCAGACAGAGCGTCCACTCAGTAACAGTCCGTTTACTAATAACAGCAGAAATGATTCAGACACGACGCTCTGATCTAAACAATGGGCTTTTATTCACTCTGTTCAGACTGATGGTCACTGCGGCGTCTGGATAAACACTGTCACACGCTCTCTGACCTCACTGACCTCACTGACCGCACCTGCTCTCGGTCCTGCTGTACTGACCCCAGAACAGTGGTAACCCAGACTAATCCGTCTCCTCACTGAGCCTCGGTACAGATGATCCGCTTCAGCTCACAACAGAGTTCTGTGTGTGGCTCTTCAGGAGAACCACTATTAGTCCCTAAAGGAACCTTTTCTGTGGATCCATTTTTATAATGAAGAATGTGAATGAAGAACCTCCACATAATAGCAAAATTAATTGGTTTACAACCATCAATGTCAGTGTGAAGAACCTTCCAAAGGTTTATAGAACCCTCATATAATGCAGAGGTTCTAAGAAGAACCCTTAAACTGGTGAAGAACCTTTACAATTGGTGTGAGGGACCTTCCAAAGTAACATTTCTAAGCAGAACCCTTAAACTGGTGAAGAACCTTTACAAGTGGTGTGAGGGACCTTCTGAACCCTGCATAATGTAAAGGTTCTAGGACAAAGCCTTAAATTAGTATAGAACCTTTAAAATTGGTGTAAAGAACCTTCCTCTCTAAAGGTTCTAGGAAGACCCTTCAGTTGGTAAAGAACCTTTACGTTGTGTTTAACCATCATTAAGATTCTTCAAACTCTCAGCGTCTCTTTTTCAAACAGTTTATTATGATTTTTTGCCATATTTATAGAAAACAGTAATGAATTGTTGATAAAGTGACGTTAGAAGGTCTGAAGTTGATAACATGAAGTTCGATGGTCAGTTTAACCTGAAATATTCAGGGTTATTTATTTAAAAGGTATGAAAATATTTACTGAGCTGAGAAAATCTGATTTTTGTTAAGAACAGTGTGTAATTTGAGGACAAAAAAAGGATGACAAATTTTTCAAATTAGCTCAAATTAGAATAAAAATTTGGCCCTGATATCAGCAAAAAACTCTTAAATTCCAAAATGTGAAAAATACAATTTTAAATATGAAGAATTTTGAAACTGACACATTCCTTTTTATGGATTTATTAATTTGACTGAAATCAGTTGATTTAAGGTGGAACGTTACTGTACTGTACTGTATTGTTGCATTGGTTAATGATGTGATTTAGAACCTGACGGAGCAAATTCAAAAAAATTAATACAAAAAAAATTAATCTGAGAAAAACTTTGAAATTTTGCACAGCCGACTGAATCAAATTGGACTTTTTATTTAAATTTTTTTCACACCTGTCCAGGTGAGCCGGTGTGGAATACCTGTACGAGTTTAATCAGGAGAAAAAAAACACCTGCAGCCGATCAGCCAATCAGCCGCCAGCTGAGTCAACACCTGGGCCACTGTTTGTTCTCTATTTTTATGTGCATTATCTCAGAGTTTATAAGCTACAGCGCCCACCACCCCCAACACCCCCACCCCAGAGACAGAGATACAAACTCGCCTTTACAATTCAACACTTTGTTCCTGTGTTTTTAAGTTAAAAAGTAAACTTAAATGAAATGAAAGTCAAATTCAGGTTCACTGCTCAAAAAAGAAACCTGGATTTGTACAAAACAGACAGACAGACAGACAGACAGATAGAGTACCAGCATTGTTCCTCATTCTAAAGAATCCCATCATCCTTTGGGTGCACGCCTAATAAACAAACTGTTTCCTGTTTGGTTTTAAGGCGATAGTTCAGCCAAGAAAAGAACTCCCCCCGCTTTAGCGCTGAAGCTACGATGCTAATGAAGCTAACGTGTGATGGAAGCTTATAGCCACAGATTAGCATGATGCTAACTACATGGCTAAAACATTACACACTTTCCTCAAACGCGTTCGTGAAGTTGGCTTCACATTTGTCGGTTTCTTAGACTTTTCCGTTCCACCTTAAACGGTGCAGCAGTTAAGGTGGAATGGAAAATTCTGCTCCTCTATGGTTCATAAACATGGACAAAATGCTAGCTGGTGGGGTATAAGCTTCCATTAGTTTGTAGCGACATTAGCACCGTAGCTGCAGCGCTAAAGCTGGAACCTGGAGGAGCGTAGAACCGTGTGAGTGAGACGCCTGGTTGAAGTGTCGCTTTAATGACGCGGTGAGAATCTGTATAGCGTTGGAACCGAAGCTCTGGGGGCGGAGCTACATCTTGGTCTCGCTGTCGGGGAGTCTGTCGTCGTTGTTCTGAGAGATGAGCTGGTACGGAGTTTTCTTCTCCTGGTTCTCCTCCAGAACGCAGTTCCCCAGCTCAGTGTCCACCGCCGCCAGCTCGTGACGGGACAGGTGCTCCACGATCCCCGCTCCGATAGAGTCGCCTAGAACGTTAGTGGTGGTGCGCAGACGGTCCCTGAGAGAGAGAGAGAGAGAGAGAGAGAGAGAGAGAGAGAGTTAAATCATGTTAACGCTGCTGATGGGGGACGTTCTGGAAGGAACTCGGTCAGAACTATTGATTTTTATGGGACTGACGTTAAACAGTGCGTCAAAGATAAACACAGTGAAAACCTCAGATGACCTGCTTTCACAATACCGCACGCTCAGAGAGAGAGAGAGAGAGAGAGGGAGAGAGAGAAAGAAAGAGGGAGAGATAGAGAGAGACAGAGAGAGAGAGAAAGAAAGAGGGAGAGAGACAGAGAGACAGAGAGAGAGGTGAACTTGCTATTACACAACTCTATAACTCACTATTATACACGTCTATAACTCACTAATATGCATGTCTATAACTTACAATTACACACCTCTATAACTCACTATTACACACCTCTATAACTCACTATTATACACCTCTATAACTCACCATCATACATCTCTATAACTCACTATTATACACCTCTATAACTCACCATTATACATCTCTATAACTCACTATTATACACCTCTATAACTCACCATTATACACCTCTATAACTCACTATTATACACCTCTATAACTCACTATTATACACCTCTATAACTCACCATTATACATCTCTATAACTCACTATTATACACCTCTATAACTCACTATTATACACCTCTATAACTCACTCTTACACACCTCTATAAATCGATGTTATATTACTCTCAACCCAACAGTCCACAGTGCTAAAGCTCTCCTCTGGTAATCCTCCCTTTACACCGGTAACACTGTCACCATGGCAACGTCAGCGTGGTTTTCGCCAATCTGATGTTCTGCTATGAGGTGCAAACAGCTTTTTTTAACGCCAGCATGTGAAAACAGCGTTAGGTAGACTTTGTGCTGCAGCTCATACGTTGATCTGACCCTCCGTCTCCTCTGGAACACCGGGCCTCATTGACTGACCGTTCTTCATGAGAAATTTCTCATTAAACCCACTGATGCAGTTTTAACGAAGACCCTGACTCACCAGTGTCCTCTCATGTGGGATGTGTTCTTAGGTAAGAACAGAATCTACACACACTCGAGAGCACAAAGGAGAGAACAGCTCTGCGCTTTAAGAACACGACATGAATCTGACGGAGACTTTTCTTAGAACCTTTATCAAGAACACACTTAAGAACAGACTCAGGGAGATGCTGGAGAACGAGGCCAACAGATGTTACTGTATCAAACACTTTCCTCACGTTTTATTACGATAAATCCAAAAGCACTTACAGGAGCCAATCAACTGCGATGATCAGTGTGATGTCATCAGTTGGCAGTCCGACAGAGGTCAGCACTATCACCATGGTAACCAGTCCAGCCTGAGGGATTCCGGCTGCTCCGATACTGGCAGCTGTTGCTGTGATACTGACAAACATGACACGTACACAATTACCATAAACAACACAACATAAATAAAACAATTAAAATACAACAAAGACAAATACAGACAGTGTAGCCAAATAAAAACCTAATACACAGCAATCGACCCAAGCTCCGCCCACAAATGAGTTCTTTTGTAGATACTGTTGTGAGGTGTAGTTTATATCACAATACCTACATTTAGAGTCAGTTATTCATTCAGCCTAATGAGAAACTGTAGAACAGACTCAGTTTATATCACAATACCTACATTTAGAGTCAGTTATTCATTCAGCCTAATGAGAAACTGTAGAACAGACTCAGTTTATATCACAATACCTACATTTAGAGTCGGTTATTCATTCAGCCTAATGAGAAACTGTAGAACAGACTCAGTTTATATCACAATACCTACATTTAGAGTCGGTTATTCATTCAGCCTAATGAGAAACTGTAGAACAGACTCAGTTTATATCACAATACCTACATTTAGAGTCGGTTATTCATTCAGCCTAATGAGAAACTGTAGAACAGACTCAGTTTATATCACAATACCTACATTTAGAGTCGGTTATTCATTCAGCCTAATGAGAAACTGTAGAACAGACTCAGTTTATATCACAATACCTACATTTAGAGTCAGTTATTCATTCAGCCTAATGAGAAACTGTAGAATATGACTGAATGGGATTTTTCTGTAACACATTTGTGGGCGGAGCCTGGAGAGAACGGTTAAAACAGGTTAAAATTATTAAAAGCATATTAAATATTAAATATTGAAGGCACTTTTGTCTGTCAGTGTGATGTCAGATTGACTCAGAACTGTCAGCTGTCAGTGGAGTGTGGGACTGTGTCCAGACTGGGTGATCCTCCGTACCTGATGGTCAGTATCTGTCCGAAGTTGAGGTCCATGTTATTGACCTGAGCGATGAATATGGCGGCCAGTGCCTCGTACAGCGCCGTCCCGTCCATGTTTATGGTGGCTCCCACTGGCAGGACAAACCGCGTGACGCGTTTATCTACACCGTTATTCTCCTCCAGACACTTGAAGGTGATGGGCAGAGTGGCGGAGCTGCTCACAGACACAGGGCAGGGTTTAGTGCTTACAGGCTTGGCTGTGGGGTTAGTAAGAGCAGGTGTACGGGAGTGCAGGGGTACATGTAGGCGTGCAGGTGTACAGATGTGCAGGTATGCAGGGGTAAAGGTGAACAAATAATCAGATGTGGAGGTATGCAGCTGTGATGGTGT